TACTTACTTCATTTTAACAGCTGAAATTATTTTCTTGAAAGTCAAGGTCTGTTTTGTGTCTGTAGGATGGTTTTGAACGTCTGACATGAATTGTTGTTCATGTCAAAAACTGCTCACTGGTGTCACTAACATTTACAGTTCCATGGCAAAAATATATGTGCCACTCTCTATATTACATGTAACTTTATAGGTAAATCAGACTTCCAGAAGATTCTTTAGCATCTCCTGAGTAAAAATCATGCCATGAGCATGAAAGTGGCAAATGTTTGTTTTCTGCTGCAGAGAGCTTTTTAGAATAGAAGAACTCAACTCTTACTACCTATCATAAGTAATGAGGGCCTCCTGCATTGTAGCAGATTTAAATAATAGCCAAAATATAAGTATTTAATGCACTCTTCCTACTTAAAGTGAAAGGGCACAAGTAATCAAAAAGAAGTAGTGCTGCTACTGGAACGAGCAGTCTTTCAAAAGAGAAGAGATTACCCCTGCAGAAGGGAAGGCGAAGTCACTATTTAGTGATAAAGAGACATTCTGCCTTAATTTGGAAGGACCTGCCTAATGAGCCATGCTTAGTTCCCATGGACAAATTTATTACTCTCACTTAGCATGGATATCATTATTAATTAGGCAAGCAGGAGTCATACTGTCCTGTCAGCAGAGATGCTGGATTACCCTGAAGCTGGGTGTGAGCCAATGTCTTTCGTCACAGCCCATCCTTCAGCAGGACTACATTCCCTCTAGGGAGAATTAGCATACTGCTAAAAGTTTTGTGTGTGCTTCTCTTCAGAAAGGTTTATTAATTTACAATAAGAACATCAGAGGCAAACAGTACAACTAATCATTATCAGTATGAAAAAGTTCTTAAAAATTCAATGAAATTGGCTCATGTCCATCACTGACTAGTAAATGAATATAATAACATAGGGTCATAGCAGATTCTTAAATGGGTAGAATGACATTTATATTTCAGTTGAAGTAGTGGTTTGGTAAAAGTTAATTAATGAAGATTCCTGCTTCATCCAGACCTGGTTTTGAGACTCCTGACAAGTAACAGACTTTTGGACAATTCCCAGCTGGATTTGTTAAAAAAAGTGCTTTAAATTCCTGTCTTGTCTTTATAAGGATGTTTGGATAGCTATCTTTTAGCTTTGCCTAGTTTGCTTTAGCTTAGTTTTGTCCAGTTATCTATTGCACAAATTATTACATTCTGTAAACTTTAAATACAGATTTTTAGTGCTTGAGAAGAAATGCAAAACTAAAGAAAGATCTTGCCAAAAAAGCAGAAAAAGTGTCAGAAGCAGTACTAAGGGGAACCTAGCACAGAACTGTTTTACATGTAGGATGGAAAACTACTAATTAGGAAAGGAATACTTCATATATATGTTAGCAATTTTAGTAAAACTAAAATACATTATTTAAATGTATTTGACTTACACTTCTCTTATCATGGACCTAATCATAGATGATGATATCAAAATCACAAGTATATACATTAGAGCTAATCACAAATTGAAATTTTATTTGGTTAAATTATTATTTCTGGGGAAATGTATTTTGTTTTCATTCTGAAGAGGAACTTCATATAATGGAAATTCCAATAATAAATGAGTCCATTATGTGTGTTGTTTGCCACAGTATAATGTAGTAGATGAAATATTCTAAACTTTTTATATGCAAAACACTGAGGGGAGATATTACCTTACTACTGATTAGGTGTTTCCTAAATCAAAGCATGCTCTCATTTTCATACGTAAGTAGCAAAAACTTGGGTAATTATTGTAGATCCCATTTAGCTTTTTTCCCATCATCTGGGCTTGATGTAATGCTTAGTAGAATCTAGTATAATTCTTACTAGCAGTGTTGATAATAAAATACATAAGTTTTTATTTAATCACTTAAAAGCCTCCAGAGATTTTTGCATTTTTCAAGCGCTTTTTAACAGAGATCAATCTCAATGAAACTTCTAACATTTTCTTTTTCACAGGCTATGCAATAACTCTTCACTTTTTCCTAGACAACATATTCTTCTCAATAGGAGACAAAAAAAGCTCATAGTGCTGGAAGAGTCTGAGTATAATTTAAAAGCATCAAATTTTAGCTGTGCCCAGCTAAATAGAGATAAGCATTCTGGAACTGAGCCATGCACTAAGCTCTGTCCCATCTGAAAACAGGGGTTATATTAAAGCCAATGATTTGTGTGATCCCACATAGTTGTGTTTCAGAAAAGCTTTAAGCTGCATTACTAATAATTACTTATTCTCTACTAACTGTAGACATGAATAGGTAAAGATGAGTCCAAAATATTTTTAGTTTCTTCTGTGGTTGTAGTTAGGAAGGATTAAAACCTTCCCCAGGAGATACATGTACCTTATACATGAATCTTGCCACACTCCATGCTGAAAAGGTCCTTTGGGTTGTGGGCTAACAGGCGCGTTCAATCAGGTTTAGCTCTGGAGGCACAGGCAGTTCAAGATCCCATTTAAGATTTGTTAGACAAGAAGTGCTACTTCTAAAAAAAGTAGCTTTTCTGCCCTGGAGGAGTGAGGGTTTTCCAGAGCTTTTGCTCATGCAGAATTGAGATTGTTCAGCCTGGAAGAGAGAAGGCTTCAGGGTGAACTCACTGCAGCCTTTCAGTATCTAAGAGGATCCTGTAAGAAAGATGAAGAGGGACTCTTCAAGAGCATGTAGTGACAAAACAAGGCAGAATGGCTTCAAACTGACAGAGAGTAGGTTTAGATTAGATATTAGGAAGAAATTCTTTATTGTGGAAGTAGTGAGGCACTGGAACAAGTTGCCCAGAGAAGTTATGGATGTCCTATTCAAGAGCATGTAGTGACAAAAACAAGGCAGAATGGCTTCAAACTGACAGAGAGTAGGTTTAGATTAGATATTAGGAAGAAATTCTTTATTGTGGCAGTAGTGAAGGCACTGGAACAAGTTGCCCAGAGAAGTTATGGATGTCCTATCCCTGGAACTGAACAAGGATGAGCTCTGAGTAACCTGGTCAAGTGAAAGGCTTCACTGCCCATGGCCATAAGGGGTTGGAGATAGATGATCTTTATGGTCCCTTCAATCCCAAGCCACTCTATGATGCTGTGTTTTGTTGCTACACATATCCAAAAGGTTAAATATTTGTCACGGCGCTGCTGCTCTGTGTGCTTTGAGGCTGTGTGCAATGGAGCATAGATGCCATTAGCAACAACCTGGATATTATCACTTCTGTTTTGAATGCTGGTCAGGACATATTGTGAACACAATTGACACTTCAGTTTTAGTAGAAGGGCCTAAATGAAAAGGAAGAAAAAAAAAGGGGGGTAAGAGATACTAAAAAAAGACAAAAAGCTTTTCTGATAGGACATAGACTATTATTTAGCTACACTTAACTGGTTCAACTACACATCCTTGTGAGTATTTGGAAGAAAAATCTGGAACAAGTTGGTTTGTTTTTTTGTTGTTTTTTTTTGAAATGCTGTCTGTGAAGATCAAACATATTCATGCTGATTTTTTCATATATGACTAAGCACTGTACAGCTACTAAGCTTAGCACTTGATGGAAGTAAGGAAGGAGAATTTTCCACAGTGACTGGTCATTTTAAAATCATAGCAACTTGTTTTTTCATGGTGATTGAAAAGAGAGGATATGATGCCTCCATAGTCAATTATTCTAGAAATTGTAAATCATGCTTCAACCAGAAGCATTCATGAATGCATTCTGTATTGGCTTCCTTGAGCAGGTTGGTCACATTTCTACTGAATGAATGGAAACAGGAAAGTTGTGTTTGCTCTCCCCTTGCCTACTTGTATAACTGAGAGTGATCGTTTCAGACAGGTTCCTGTTTTATACATTTTGTTCTCAATCAGCTTTAGGTTGCTGGTTCTCTGCCCCAGGGAGAGCTGAGTTGAACAATGTAAGCTGCTCCTCCAGCTTGTATCAGCTGGTTGTGCTCCCCTTGGTCTATTCAAGTTGTGTATAACCAGAAGGCAATACTGTCCCGTGAGTCTCCTTTGCTGAACTTAACTCTGCCCTTTGCTGTTAGGTAACTTTGTGAAAATTGCATGCAGGCTACTTATACCCAAATCTCCAGATGTATTGGCAAAGACAGCTGGTGAGCTTGTGACTTGGGACAACTTCTTTGATGTAGCAGGGACTAAATTAATTAAAGCTGTTTCTGCAAACCTATTTTTCACAAGAACAAATTACATGCCAGAGTTTTAGCATAAAGCATCCTCTTTATTATATAAATAAAGTTTAAAAAATAATTGAAAACATTTTAATGAATGGATTTCTTAATCAACTTGCTTATTCTTTGGTTTAATACCAATTACAAATACTAGCAATCATTAATTATTAAATATTTATAACCTGATGTCTATTATGTGATGTTATGTTGAAAGTAAAGCCAAAAGTAATTTTCTCCTCCAGAACCAAAGCCAGCAACCTAACCATGGACAGCCACTATAATCTCTACCTGCAGTATCCATTTAAAGACTAATTTTATGTTAGATTTTTGTAAACCTGCAGAAATATGAACTTGTTTTCTCTAGCCTCTATAAAGAAAATGGAACATATGGACTTTTCATACTCCTTAAAATAAAAATATTCCTTTGACCAACCTTCAAGAATAGGGTGTATAAGTCAAATAGGTCAGAGAAGCTGATATTTGTGTTCCTCATATGATTAGAAAATGGAAAACTTTCATAGAATGTATCTAATGTAAAATGTATAGCTGATAACATTTTTGAAAAGTGATTTCTTAAAATATTTAAAGTTACTGCCTGAGATATGCTGTTCTGTACCATTCTGAATATAGGCATCCTTTTTAAAATTCATTGAAGTGTCAATGTTTAGACCAAACCCCTGATTCTCAGTTCCTCAGCGACTGTGGTTATTCCTGTCATTTAAAATGCCATTTAAAAATGCTGGGTTTGACACATAAATGTTTGCAATTAAAAATATTAATTGATGTATGCCAGATTATATAACTTCAGGTTTTCATCAGGACAGTGATCTACTGGACCGTCGGAAACATTGCTTCAGTGTGCAGTCTGAATCTGGAGAAGATCTTTACTTTTCTGTGGAACTAGAGTCTGACCTAACACTATGGGAAAAAGCCTTCCAAACTGCAACTTTTTTAGAAGTGGAACGGATACAGGTGAGAACAACTGCCTTGTTGATCATGTTTTGGTACATCAACAAATTAGGCCCATATGAAATAATGATGTAATTTAAGATATTTTATGACCTTCTGCAGCTCTCAAGTTGTTACTCTTTTATGTAAGTAATTGTTTTTGCTGTTCACAAAAAGCTTGCAAGCTAGCCTTCAGAAGGGGTCACCTGAAATACAATCATTGAGTTATTATGACTACGTGATACATATTTGTTAACTGAAGTTCACGAACAGACAAGAAAAAGCAATCTGTGGATCAGGCACAAAATGCAAGTGTTTAGATATTCTTACTCTCTTACATGCTACCTTATTTGTTACTGAAGAACCTTGCAGGAATTAATAGTCCTTGTAATACCAGGAATGGAAGTGTACTGAGGGAAGTACTCACTGGATAAAAACAAGAACAAAAGTTGTACCTCTGACGTGTTATTCTTTCTTCACGTATTTCCTGTTCCCTGTGTATTTACTCTATTGTCAGGTGACAGTGCATGCAGAGATGGACAGCATTCAAATACAGATTACTAGTGACTTTTTATAGCAAAATTATATATCAGAGTGTTTAAAGATAACTTCTCACATGAACAAAAAGTCATGACTTTTTGAAATAAAAAAGGAGAAAAAAGCCACCCACCACAATTGTAATTCACCTAATCCCAATTTTAATATTGATTTTCTAATAATGTAATATACATGTGGTTAGAACAGCTTTAGTTGATGTTGGCAGGAGTTACACACACCTACCTAAGCCATATTAGCATATTAAGCTGTGCAAGTATTGGCTCATACATTTTCTGTGTCCTCCTGGGAATGCGATGTTTTTATTCACACAAACTGTTAGTTAGTTATATATTAGCCCTTTTCTGACCTGCAAACCACCACATGCAGATGCACTGAATTGGTATATACTAATGAAGATCCAATATGCAAAAACTACACTGCTGTCAGTTTTAACTCACAGTACTTATGTTGCAAGGAGTCAGGGGAGGTTTTGCTTTCCGCTTTTAAATTCATATATGCTGTTACCTTTCATAGAAACTATTCTTGTCTTTTAAGCTACTTGCATGCTGGAAAATCTAAGACTAGGTTTTCTGTGTAAAACTTGCAATAATGTATGTCCTCTTCACTAAATATTTGAGAGTTGTTGTCTTATATAATTCACTGTAACATACTTTGTAGTAGCACTGCCGTGCCATCAGTAAAATAATATATGACATTTTTCTTGAATAACTTTTATCTCAGAAGCCACTCCATATTTGTTCTACTTTCAGATTGATTCATACTATAGCATTCCTGGTTTAGATTTTTCTTTTGAATTTTAGAATTGTATTTATTCAAAATTGCCTTCAGGCTTCTCCAAAATAGTTTCCTTTATAATCTTAATCTCAGATTCGTCTTAATCATTTTACCTTTTTTTTGTCTCTCCTGATGTTCATGGTAGCAATTAAGAACTCAAAGTAATGATTTCCTGATTGATTGGATGATTGATTGATTATAGATCTGTGAAAGTGGATAAACAGGCTTCTTATAATAGAACATTATTGTGGAACTCACACTCATTATTTCACCTTTTTTTCCTTTATTTTCTATATCTTGATTTGGAAAAAAATTAGAATATTTTAAATATAACTGGGTTTGGCCTCATTTTTCCTTTAGCAATCCATTACTGCTTTCATCTACCAACCTGCAGATGCAGAAAAAGTCTGATGGTATACTTTGTTTCTAACAAGTTCTTTCATTGCTCTGTGAGAAAAAAAAAAAAAAACCAAAAAAGTGACAGGTTCAAAATTAAGGTATCAATGGTATATTTTTACTAAAATTATGCATTATACAATCATGTTGATATGAATATACATATTTAAAGTGAATGTTAATCCAGTAGGTTTGTCTTACTATACAATAATATAACATTGAAAATATACCTTCAGTTTAAAACTACTATTTAAAAATATTCAACTGTGTTGTGAACTCCATAATCATGCCATGAGTGACTCTTACTCTATGGCTATAACCTCCAGAAGAGGTTAATCAGGGACCAATTCTAATCCAACTCCAAAGAATGTATAACAAATTCAAATATTATTTAAATGCATTACTGTAAATATATAATGAATTCTGTTTCAACCTAATTCATAGCTTCTGCCGGGGTATATCTAAACCAAAAATTGAACAGTTAGTTTTTCTTAGAAAATAAATATATTAGAATAGGAATAGTCAAATTGATAATTTAGCAATAACATGGTACAATGTTACAGTGGTGTCATTTTAGTGTGTTACAGTCACTCTTTAATTAGTTTTGTAATGTAGTAACTGATGGAAATCCATTTCCATAATTACCTATTTTAAAAAATTACTTGAAATGAAAATCCTTTTTCCTTACTCTTTCACAGCATTGTTGTACAAAGAATCTGAGACTATTATAACTTGCATAATGATGAGCAATTATATATATGCCTGTCACATTCCCTTTGTGTTCCTGCTACTTTAAGCTAATATCTTCACCTCTTGCATCATGAATTTTTTTCTTGCTGTCCTTGCTTGTAGTTGTTTGTTCTCTAATGTAAGGATTATTATGTAAGCTGTTTTATGTTGCAGTACTATAACATATGTTTTCATTGAAGTTGAATCTGAGTTTAATTCTTCAGTTTAAAAGTCTGAATTAGGTATTAGATTTATGGTTAATTTTCTTTCAGCTTCAGAGATGGCTTACATGAAGTTCACAATGTATTGTTCTTTCCATAATTTAAACTGTGCATGTTGAGGGAATAGTTTTTAAGGAACAACTTCGAGTTGTCTCCTTCAGCCTCTGCCTGACCCATTGAATTATTAATAAACCAAAGTTAACATTTTGTATTCTGTGGAAGAACAGCAAATGACTGCTGAAGTGTATTCTGCTTCTTTTGGGAAGGGGATGCTTCAGTTCTCACAAGGTTTTCGTGAGTTCTTGTGAGAAATCAGCAACCAAAGCCAAATATCCACAGTATATATTATTCATAGTCACTTTTAAAGTTTTAAAAAGTTAACTGTATACAAAATCTTAAATTATCTTGTAGCTTGATAGCAATTTTTGCCTTTCTGTTTTCTCCAAATATCTGAATTAAAAGGCAACCTAAAGAAAATTAATATGAGAAAAAGTCTTTCAAGAGTTAACTAGTGTCTGAAAGTTCACATCCCTACTCTGACTTGTCACCAGAATTATATACAAGTGGGTAAAACAGCTGCAAAAACCCAGGGCCATTCTTCCCCAAGGAAACTAAATTCTCACTGTCCAGAGATCTTTTTTGTTATTTTCACATTTTTTCTTCTCTAAATTGTTTTGGACATCATAGTCTGAGGGCGTAGAATGGTCTTTTATATAAGTAAAGAACAATAAATAATCAGCTGCTACTAGTGATCCGCGGTTTCTTCCTGCAAAGAACTACACTGAGCTGAACTAGATAATACAAATTGAGCACAAACTGAGCACTGCATTTTGTAGAAATACCCTTCAGTCTTGGAAGTAGGTTGCTTTTTCAGAACAGCCTTGAACCAAGGCTGGTATGTCCTGTTTCTCATAAATCTTAAGTTCCCAGTGAGGCTAATTAGCCAGTCCAAGTTCTGGGCTGAAAAGAAGAGGGAGCAGCGTCAGCTCAGCATGGGGCTGCAGTGCACACTGTGGGTTGGCCTCTGGTGTTGGGGTGGGAGGTTAGAGAACTTTAGATGACGATATGTATTTTAAATCTGACACACGTTTCCCATGCCAAATTTAATTTCCTAAAGGCTCTAAGTCTGTTCCAGATCTTTAACATTTACAAATAAAAATGTGATTTGCCTCTTGTAAGATGTTTGCAAGATAATTCCAGATAAAAGGTACATTTTTTGCTTTGTAAAACTTGAAAAGTTTTGCATATGTGATTTAACTAACTATAATGAAATATAATACTTTACATTTTTTCTTCTACTAATGAGATAATACCGAAGGCAGTATCCTCTTTTTTTCAGCACTGATTTACAATCAAATTTTACACATTCGGAACAGTCTCATGGTGTAGCTGATCAAAGGGGAAAAAAATAAAAAGCCACATTTATTTGTTAATATAAGCACTAAGTATGAAGTTTTCCATTTTCCTTCATTGCATTTTCTACTTAGAAGATGTTAATGCACCTTTCAGCTTGTTGTGTTCTAAGGAAGACCATTAAGAATCCAAACATCCCCCCAAAGAATATATATGTAAAGGCATCTGATTTATCTTCATACTCAAAATGCCAAAAATAATCATAGGTTCCTTTGTAGTACTTACAATTTGTAGCCCACATTTTTCCCACATTTGCAATTTATATTCTGATTTTGCTGCCACATTATAGGTCATGGAAGTCTTTGTTCTCATTTCATAATTTTGGCAGCTACAGCAATATTTGAAGAGTGTAGCTCTATAATCTGAAGGGCAAAATATCTATAAAATAAGAATAATTTCTTTAAAGAACTTGCATCTGATGTGGAAATGTTTTAATTCTTTTTTCTGTATTTTGTGATGAAAAAGACAAGTCTGTCATTTTGTACCTGCAGTACTCCTTCAAGCACAGCAGTAGTTTTGATTCTAAAAATTACACTTATAAATGTCTCACAATGTGTAATCAAGTGTGATGTTATGGAAATAAATAAAAGCATATATTTAGAGACAGTGGAACAATAAAGTCTTTCAGAATTCCAAGGTTTCTCACAGAAAACTTTGACACATATTGGTCCAATATCAGAAAAAAAAAATCCAGATAATTCCATTAGCTGCTAAATGGTATGAAATATTAGCTTTTTCCCTGAGATTTAGGACATCAGAAAACCACAAGAAACAGTGTACTAAAGAGATACTTTATATATGGGGGTTTTTTTCCTTGATAAGATAAAAGGAATATATTAATCTTTAAAGTTGTTGCATATGAAAAACAAATAAGGAGGTTTGAAAGTAATAAATTTTTCCTTTAAGAAAATGTTATTAGTAAGCCACTGAGGCAATTTTGAGCCTTTCATTTTTTTCCCAATGGAAGCAAAGCCTGTTTTCATAAGTCTTAGACAACTTCATCACTGATAAAATTCCTTTTATTTGAAATAAAAAAAAAAATGGACATATTTACACACAAACTACTTCTTTCTGATAATAATTTTGAGGTACATAAACATTAGAATAAAGTCTCAGAAAGAGTGGTCCTAGAAAAGCATTTAAGAAGTGTCTTCTGTGGTAACTACCCTTTCTGATTTTTCTTTTACAGTGCAAGACGTATGCCTGTGTTTTAGAGAGTCATCTTATGGGACTTACCATTGACTTCAGCATGGGCTTTGTCTGTTTTGATGCTGCCACAAAGGTAAAGTTCTAAGAAATTTTTTCATCACACTGTTATTATTCCTCGTTATTTCTAATATTTTGAGATAAGTAATACATCCTTCAAATGTCCTTCTCTTTGTTATAGTAAGAGATTATCTCTTGTCAAATGTCTCACGCTTTAGTTTAAATTCGAGACTGATTTCTAATTTTGTGAGAAATAGTATTCTCATATTTGCTTGTTATTGAAAAATCAATACTGATACCAATCTGAAACAAGCATCAGATCTTTATTCTTTAATTTCACATGAAAGCCCACACTCATTCAGCTTGATGGTTTGTTTTGCTGGTGTGTCCTTGGTTTTGAGAAAAGATAATTTTCTTCGTTTCAGTTTCATCTGTGATCTTGAAAATAATCTTCCATTCTCTTCTCTTGCTTCATGGGAAGGAGTATGTGCTATTACAGCAATTCCACAATTCCCAGTTTATATTTTAGCTATTATTGTTCAGGTATCTGCAAAAAGAAAAGCCAACCATAGTCTATACGTCTCACCCATTAGCTTTTCCTGTCAGTCTTATAAAAACTCAGTAGAACCGATGAAAGAGTTTGCTTTACCAAGCAAATAGGATGAAATCAACTTCTATACTGTGCTATCGCACATCCAAGGCTCAGTAAAACCATTGAGACCCTGAGTATGTCACATGTTGGCATTTGCACTAATTGCTGGCAAGTCCTAGAGTGTGCTCAGGCTTTACTCCTGCTACTTGACTCTGCTAGTGGTAGAATCTTTCTTCGGAGCGAAACGGTGAAATCTTTCTTCTGAGTTCCACTTCTCTTCAATAGCTATTTTCCTTTGAGATGCTGCAACTTTGTCACCACCAACGGCTGAAAATGCCCTTTTGTGTCCAGAATTTGTTCCTATGCTCTCTTGTAAGTCAAGCCTTCCTACCTCATTACTCCACTAATCCAAACCCTATTATTCTTCCCACTCCATTCTATTTGTTTGCACAAAGTGATGAATTTTAAATTCAAACACTTATGTAACCTTGTTTCTTTTTGTTAAGCAAATAGTCTTGTATAATTCATCAGTGAAATGTGACTATCAGTTTAGAAGGCATTATACTAAAATATCAGTGCAACAGAATTAAAATGCAGTAGGTCAGTAAAAAAAAAAGTGTGGCTATCCCCTACCCTCCAATATTTTTATATATATATAAAAGTATAGTAAAGAAGTTCTTTTGTATATCTAACCTTTCAGTTTGAACCCATTCCTTCTTGTATTATATGTATGGTATTGTATACTAGAACAAAGCATTACATCATGAATTAAAAAAAAGGATATTGTTTTGTTAGGTTATCAGACGTTAGGCAGTGCGAGATAAGGATGACAATTGCATTAGAAAAGAAAAGAAAAAATACAATAGAAAGCAACATAATCCAAGTGACTGCTGTAATTCAAATTATCAAACAAGCCATAAGGTGAAATGTCTGAAATCTAAGTGTGTACACCATGTTTTAGTGGGTGCTCAAATAGGGAAAACATTGCCTAGTCTCCATCAGTTTATGGAGAGATGAAGATTGTAGTGCTCTTAGCCAAAAATTTATTCAGATATCATTATTATGATGATGACAAGTGTAAGTTGTGTCTATGCTGGCAATGTTCTTCAACAATATTGCTAATCTCATATATACTGAAATGAAAACACTTAAGCTAAAAATGTTATTTTCCACCTTATGATGTTAATATGAAGCAAACTCTGCTTTCAAAAAAAAAAAAGAAAAAAACAATGCGGACAAGGAAAACATTAGTATGATTTTAACTCAATCATTCATATCTGAGTAGTATTTACGTGTGCATTTGTGAACTAAGGATGTACAAAAGTCCTAGCAAGTGTCCTGTGAATTAACATACTCAGTATTAAAGATAAAAACATTATTAAAAAGGTCTTACCATTCATGAAATCAATATTTACATATAATTATTTATAATTTCTAGGATTTTTTTGCAATTGGTATTTGAAAAATTGGTACAAGCTATTATCTTTTCACTTCCAATGACAGGGTATCCACAGCTCCGTGGGGCACCCTGTTCCACTGTCTCACCACCCTGATCCTATAAGATTTCTTTCTTATGTCCAATCTGAGCTCTACCTTCTTCTATTTTAAAAACATTGTCCCTTGTCCTGTCACTGTAGGCATTGGTAGAAGCTCTTTCTCCATTTTTGTATAAGCCTCCTTTAAGTACTGAAAAACAGCAATAAGATCTCCTTGGAGCCTTCTCTTCTCCAGGTTCAACAGCCCCAAATCTTTCAGCCTGCCTTCATGAAAGAGATGCTCCAACCCTCTGATCATAGTGGTCCTTCTCCTGTACATGTTCTCTTCTGTTATTTTGCTGCTGCTCATACCAAATTCAACCACTCCTTTTTGGGTAAAGATTAACTTAAAGGCATACTTCATAGACTTCAGAGTTCAGTGTCAGATTGAACTGTTCTTTCTATATTTCTCTCAGAATAGCTCAGAGAATAACCCTGCAGATGCAAGATATATTTTAATGAATTCATAGAATGTCTTGGACAAGTACCTGGAGGAAAATTCTGCTGAATATCATTAATTTTTTTAAAAATTCTTATTTATTTATGACATTTTCATGTTTTGGAAACAAAATAGTTTCTGAGAAGTCTTGTCTAATATTTTGTTGCAGTGGTATCTCCAGTAAATCTTCAGGCAGTGTCAGTCTTATACTTAATACTGTGCTCATGGCATTTTAAGTTTTTTTTTCTCACTTACTAATGAATTGACTGCGGATTGTCTTTATAAGTGCATAATTACGAATAAACTGAAATGAAGGACGCCAAGTTCTTTAACTCATTATTTTAGCAGTTATTCAGTTATTCAAATGTTCCAGTTATTTAAGCAGTGCAATAATATTTAAATTCTTTCTTCCTCTCACTTTTCCAGTAAGTGAATAGATTTTGTCCAACATGCCCTGACAAATTGCAGTCAAAATTTCACAAATTTTCTAAACCCCAAACACCCCAGTCTTCATGAACAAGTGTATAGGGGATAATGGCTCTCATTATGTTTATGATTTCCAGACAAAATCCTTACAACCCTGTGTAGGCTGGTTTCCTTGTTTGCTATCATTTAATCCTTAAATAGTACTTAACTATGTAAATTGAAATTAGTGGTTAAAAACTGTCATCTGTGCTAAATGTATTTCAACTCAAACATAATAATTAGATAAAAAACATTGTTTCTGTGTCTGCACAGACATATGATAAATATGAGTACACAAAGTATTAAACTGAGTTACTCAGAAAGAATCTGTGCTGTGATGTGATTACAACAGCACTGGCATAAATCATAGATGTTTCTGCTGCATATTTCTCTGCTTTCTCATATTCATTTTCTGACTGATAACTCATAGAGTCAACAGTAGTTTGTCATTTGGAGTATTTCATATGATACTTTATAAAAAGCCATTGCAATTTCCTGAAAGGAGAGTGAACAGCTTTTAAGACCACCTGGTTAAATCTGATTATGTCGACATTTCAGAAGATGTCTTACTTCTCAATTCAGGTAAAAATTCTACCATATAGAATTTTGGCCACAAAGTAATTTTTCTCCTTGCACCTTGAAAAGTAATGGCAAATATATTTATGCCCCTGTTCTTCTGTAGCACTTTTAAGAGCCAAAGCTCCAGTGCAAGATGTCATCTTTTATTAGCAATGCATGGTTTGAAAGCAAACTGTGACACATAGCCCAGGCCAACACCGGCACGTGTTTGATTATGATTATTTTCGTGATGTAGTCCTTCATTTGTGGTAGCTATAAACCTGGTGTCAAAAAGCCACCTGCTTCCTCTGTTGGCATACAGAGAAATGTAATTCTAATCAATAGGGAGTTTCCTCAGGGGATCTCTTCCACTGGGGTCTTCTTCCAAAAAATGCCCACCAGCTTTAACCAATTTTATATGCTTTATTTGAAATACAGGATGTCAGCTAGAATCCCCTCACTGAACTTCCCTCTTTCTTCATTGCTGGTATTCTGTGAAAAGTGAATTTAGCTAATCTTTGTGAATACCCTTTAGATATTTTATTTTCTTTCCTGCCTTAACCACATTTTCCTGATTCTGCTTAGTTACTCCTTGCACTACAAGGTGCCTTTGTATACAGCATCTACTCCAGAAGTAATTTTTCACTAAAGATGTTCCATATGCTAAATATTTTTTTACTTGGTTTTAAAATATGAAAAATGTGAAAAGATGCAAAAGGTTCTGTGGCAGCTCTTAGAAATTATATACCAAATTTTATCCTAGGCCATTTTTGCAGTATTGTGTATCAGTGTTTACGGGAGAAAGTATTTTTCTCAAGTCCTGCCCAACTACATCCCAGTACTTGTGTCCTAATTTGTCGAACATTAGCTAATATATAGACATCAATGTTTTAATGAACAAATGTAACTCTCTCATGGACAATTTCTGTTAGGTACAGACATACATGGATACTGTGATGAACATTTATAAATAAGGTTTGCAGCCACAACAGCCACCTTATGAATTAAGTATGGAGACTGATATATTAAAGAGAATAACAAGACATGTACAGAACTGAATCTAACTACTATTTTGAAAGTGATCCAATGTATAAAACTACTTACTCAAGTGCCATTTGGTAAATGATTCTTAATGTGCTTCCATAAAAATGTATGGGGCGATATACATGGAAATATATCTATTATATATATTTCTGGTTTACTGACATATTCATTAAAATTGTTTTCTATAATGTGCATATTTTCATCATCAATTCTATGTAATAATATATGTCTGTTTTGAATATACATTGCCATATACCTACCTGAGCAAAGTGCTGTGTCTGTAGTCCATCATATTTACTGCTCATTAAAACAGCAGTCAAAAATATATATTTGTCAGAAGAAAAAAAAAAGCGTCCCTTGTAGGATTGAAAATAAATTAAGCTGCTGCTGAATTATATGGTGCTGCTAGAACAAAGTAAGAAAAGGCTCCATAATGGCCCACA